CAGCGCTAATAACCACCAACACCTTTCCTCCACAAACACCACGGGTACACAAACACAGACAGATGTCTGACAACGAATGGGCACAAAACAAAACATCTTAACACCCAAATAACACAAAATCTGAAAGCTAAAATCTATTTATGGAAGGTTGGGAAGGTCTACATCCTGAAAGATGTAGATTTGTAGAGCAGAGAGCTGAGATTTTCTTTGTTTTAATAAAATCTACCCCCTAAAAAAACTATGAAAGATTATGTAAATATTTAATAACTTGATTTTTTACTTTTATCACTCAGCCTGTAATAAAGATTTTAATATTAATTATGTTCTAAGCTATTCAAACCTTGTTTGAATAAGTCCAAAGTCTTTATTAGGTTGATAATTGTCGATAAAAACAGTACAAAAGCCAAACTTTGCTGGTAAACCACGGCGTAATATGTTGGGCTTAATAAAATATAATCTCTAAAAACTGAGAGGTGGCACTGTAAAATAAAATGTTAAAATTGAGAAAGGCAGTAGCAGGTTAATGTGGGGCCAAAAATGGCATTTTCATTTTTGTGGTTTGGAATAAATAAGTCAACTTTAACATGGCTAAGATATTTTACTCTTATTCAATTATCATTACTATTATTTAATTATTTATTTACTAAGGTATATTATCTGATATTCAAATCTGTAAAAACGACTTGAAATCTCAATTAATGGCTGAAAATGTCTCCAAACACTTAACTTGGTTGTTAATCGAAAGGGACCTGAAATTCTTACAAACTGGACCTATCAGCAAGTTTAAAAGGAAAGAAATTAGAGTGCGAAAATCAGAATCTTTCAGCTTGAATCTTCAAATTTGGTGAAATTCTACGCTGATGACATCAAGTTCTTCCTCTCAAAGCTACAAGTTGACATTTTGGATCAGATTTCTGCATAAAAGAAGCTAAAATCTTTGAAAGCAGCTAAACGTAGCTAAGCGTTAGTGCGATAGCGCGCTCGTTGGGTGGGGGTCGGTGGGAGGGAGGGGGGGGAGGCGGGGCGGGCGGGTGGGTGGGTGGGGTGAGTGATTACCTCGTGCCCAGGAGTGATGAGGCTGTGACCGTGATCTGGGCAGCAGTGGCACTTGGTTGACGTTGGAGTTTTACTGTGTGCCAGCCAGGGCTTGGCATAGTCACGAGAGTGAGGGTGGGAGGACTGGAGGAGGGAGGGAAGGAGGAGGGAGGGAAAGCGGCAGAGGGGGAGGAGATGTGGAGGGAAGGGGTTCAGGGGGAAGCGGGGAAGTGCGTCGCAGCGCGTTGTTGGTTTGATTTTAACCCCACAAAGCAGGAGGGACATTTCAAAGGTTTGAACAGGGGGGAGGTGGGAGGAGGGGCAAAAAGATGACAGGAGAAAAAACAAAGAACAAAAAAATCAAAAGTTAAGGATGTGGTGACCTCTGACAACAACAGGGCGATGACAGCAGGTGAACAATATGGAACAAAAAGCCATAAAAGTCTGAGAGGAGCAGACGATGATCCACAGGACAAACATGGCCGACGGAGGACGGAGGAGCAGAGACGACAACAGCAACACAAACTGCACCCAGCGCACAGCGAGGCAACACGGGACGGGCTCAGATCCCAGCGCTGCCATGTTCTGACGCTTTGCTCTGATCAGAAACTGAAGCAGATGCTTCAAACTCTGTAAACCGAGTCAGAGGTGGAAGCACTGAACACTGGGCTTCATAGAGGTCAGATGCTCTTTGAGAACCAGCCGCAGGGGCACCAAAAGCTAAAATAAAACCATAAATCAACTCAAACATTCACCTTTTCTTTTACCGAAATTGTTTCAGCTACATTTGCTGGTCGTACAAATTTTTTTGTGAGCTTTCAGCTGAAATTCAAACGCTTCTGTGGAGCTCACAGCAGTCCACCCTTTAGCTAAGCTAAACCAGGATAAATACAGATCAAACTACAAATGACCTCACATCTGAGCTCAGCGGGTCGGGGAGAGTCCGAAGGGTGAATTTTAAACTTTTTTGTCCCAAATGATTGTTGGTTTATATCATATGTAGGGAAAAAAAAAGGCTGAAAGTGTGACACCAGCTTTGTTCTTCACACTTGGCTCTTAATGATCAATCAATCCTGCTCTGTGTTCTGATACTTTGAACAGTTGGATCCCAAACTGAGACACACAAATGACTCTAAATCTGTTTATCTGCCAAACTAAAACTGAGCAGAAACCAGGAGTCGATCTCT